TTGGCCAACGTTATAGCAGCATCGACTGATTGAAATGGTCTGCTACATAAAGTGCAGGCTTCTTTTCAGTTTACAAACAGACTGCGACCATGGAAGGCAGATATCTAAACAGGGGGTGAGTGCTCCCTAATAAAGAGAAAGACAGACACATTGAAGAAAGCAGCTAAAGAATTTAGTGGTACTTTCTGCTTCCACATCACATATACTTTGTCAGGATAAATTGAAGCTAAATCAACAATGCACTATTCACCTCTCTACATTAACAGGAACGAAAGACCTGACATCACGCAAACCCATCATTTGGTACTGTTGGGAAACTGGGTCAGGCAGTAAAAGGGCTAAAACACAATACTGTTCACTTGCCTACATTTAAATGGCACATCCAGTGCAATAGCAGACTAACTTTCCATTTCAAGTTCAATTAATTAAAAATTAAAATAAATTACACAGTCAAGTGACAAAATTTCAATGTTTCATATTCAACCATCAATGTCAATTAAAGTGCATCATTATTCAAATATTTTGCTTCAAGGAAGCAGCCAGCCAATACTCCAACGGCTCAGATCTGCCCCAGAGAAATAATTACAGAGTTTACATTTTCACTTGTAAACAAGTTGAAGAAAAAACAGGCTGATTGTTTAACAGAGCAGCACTAACAACAGTACAGTAGGAGAGGAGACTCACATGCATCAGTATCAGTTGCTTAATGAAAGGCACCATTGTTCCTCATTACTAACCTGTTTGTGTACTAATAAGTATTAAGAAAGATTCGATTTTACACTTGATCATTGTGCCCTCGCTTCTGTTTCCACATTTGTGTAAGAGTAATGCGGCCAAATTTTCTTCCTCTGCAAGATGAAGCTCTTCATGCACCATTCCAGTAAGATATATGCAAAGTGCATTCACACAAACAACAGCTGAAACTAATGACTGTGAATATAAATCAGATGTTCTATTGCTGCAGCCATCAGGTAATTGTGCCAAACTGCACATTTCAACATGTCAAACCCTTAAAATGAATGTTGCCCAATGGCAGATAACTCAATTTAACAGAAAGCAAACTACAAATAAAATTAAAGTATATATATATCCATAAAGATCTACAAATCTAGTCTAGCATTAATCTATATTCAGACATGCCGATTTTCTTATTTTGTACCATTCATAAAATTTTGAATATTCCATAATATAAACACAATTCAAACACCAAAAAGACCATTAGAAAAATGTGAAAAAAGCAAACACAACAGAAATTCAACCAAGTTCACAAACTGCTGCAATGAAAACAGGAGATTGGTGAATTGGGTTTAAATGGTTAAAATTTGACACCATTTAGTAATCCTCCTTTTATACGATAATTCTTTAATCTTTCACCCAGACAGAACACGTCTGCACAGGATTGTCCATTCTGTTCTATTAATCATTTCAATAATCCTTTGTAGTTTCTAAAACATAATGCCACTACCCAAATTCCATAGAAAATGTTCTAAAATTTTCAACACTAAATTCTGAAAGGTTTAAATTATCATTTATAATCCAATTAATGTAATCAGTACAGCAGGATTAGACAATCCTGAAGGATAATTATATTTCCTCCTTTCAATGCACAATTGAGACATTTCAAACCATCAGGCAAGACCTCTGCTCAATATTTTATCAGTAACAATATTCTTCATAGCCAGGTAACAATTGAGGATAAACTTGTGATTTAACTGGAATTGATCTAAAATTACAACCTGATAAGACTAATGCTAGTGATACCTTCACTAACTATTGAAATGAACATTACATTAAATTATGTTATCAACATTAAGTTATCAACTGAAAATACCAAATATTACCCCAAAATTAACACCCAGGGAAATTACAAATCTGCTGCTACCTTTTCCTCCCACTTGCGAGTGGGATACCAGTAGCTCCAGAAATAACCTTTACTCTACAACAGGACAAGTCTCACTGAGCCTGATGGAGTGCATGTATAATTGTTCTTGGTGAATAAACTATTTTTAAATGGTTATACTTAAAGCAGACCTCCTTGGAAAACACATCTATGGACCCATATGGTTCACTAGCTGGGCAGTTCAAGTTTCAGAACTGTACATTTTAGGAGATGAGTGAAAGTCCAAGCTAATATTGAACCTGTACAAATCAGGGAGGACTTCAATTCAAATTGGTTTGCAAATTGCATGAATAAAATTTATTACACAAGACAATTTAACATGTCTCAACAATGCTTTTCTTTGGAAGAACTACCGCAGTGACCGATGTGTCACAACAGAAAGAATAAGGTAATGACTAGCATAAAAAAATGTAGGTGTTGGCCTGTGTTCACTTGCAACTTTCTGAAGTTCTGTGGCATATCCCTTTATTAGTCACCACCACTGCTTTTTCTATGAACAAATTCAAACCAATCAGAATCAAATAATAATAATCCTTGCATTTGATGTAGCACTTTTCGTGTCTTTTAGACATCTCAAAGCGCTTCGCAGAATATACTGTATATTCATGGGCAAAACGCGGCAGCCAATTGCGCACTGCAGTGTCCCATAAAGAGTCGTGAATTGAGTGACCAAATTATTATTTTTTTTTTTCTTGAGAGATTATTATCAGGCACGTGAAGTAAGGAAACTTGGCACAAGGTTTCGCTCTGCCGGAAATCAAACCCAGGTCCCTCACTTGGCAAAGCAAGCCATATGCTCAGGAAAACAAATCCATGAAAAATAAAAAAAAGTTGCCATAGTGGAGCAATTTGTTCTATGTATTGGGTCATATACTGGGCTACAAGAGGAAGGAAGCAAAATTGCACTCCTAATTTCTCAAACAGCAAATCCATCAAAACTGTTGGGAAGCTAAAACACCTGCAAGAGACGGAACTTAACGACAAAGCAATTATTCAGTTCAGATGCTATCAGGCACTTCCAACCAGAAGACTGGAGATGGCATGAGTTGAGACATGCAATATCTATTCTCTCAAACAAGGTAAGAGAGAATGAACTCCTTCATCGAAGGAGAAAATGCAATATCTTAACTCCAGCATCAAGGTAGAAAACAAAACAGATCCCTAAACATGTGGTTATTAGTGTTGCCTCCAATCTATCTTTGTGGTCTGTTGAGCATCAACAAGAAATAAATTGGGTCTCTGCAGCAAAATAACATCCCCAGATCCTGGCAATGCTTCAGCATGTCTTGAGGTTATAATCCATAGCTTGCTGCATGCAGAGGGCTGAGCTCAAACTCCCAAGATTAGCAGAAGAGATAAGTGGGGTGAAGTCACTTCACCTCTCTAATACAGCTCATTTTGCATTGCAAGAGCTGTCAAACCCTGTTAACAATGATGTTCTTGTGAGATTTACATTCCCTGCTCCCAAAATGAAGAAGTAGCTCAATAGGCCAAACAGCCTACCCATGATCTGATGCAAAACAAGGACCTTTAATACAATTAACAAGTATGTACGCACAATATGAAAATATTACGTGCTTTCTTTTTTGAGCAGAAATGTAGTTTGCAACCACAGCAAGAGCAGGTACATTCTACAGATGACAATCTGCTGCTATAATTTACCACATTTCGTGACCTGTGGTCACTTCAGAAAGGCAGTGACGCTCTTAGCCCACAGGGGTTTATTTTGTATTAGAGCCCATGTTTATCTACCATTCTTTACTATTACTTTTAAGAATTCTCAGGAACATTGATATTCTACTGAATATCATCCATTTTTTCCCCCTCTTACCTTGCAGTTATTGATCAGGTAATAAACCGAGTTTAAGTAGACCATTTCTACATCAAAATTTTCTCCTTCTACCTGAATGTACATGAATACGTAGGGAAGAGAATGATGAGCACCTGGAGCATTCCAGGTAACAATCTGATTAAAAGGTTCAGATAACATCCTAAACATCCATAAGATTTTAAATAATCCTAAAATGTAGGATTCAAATCCTTAAAATTTCAATAATCTGATAACGTCTTAAGCGTTAAAGGTTTAAATAATGCAAGTAAGTGCACCAAGGGAGCATTGCGTCCTCTTCAAGAAAGGCTGGATAAACAAGCAAGAGTGAGGGAGGGACCTTGGCTGATCTTTCCCTCTAATCTAGGGATGCTGCAACCAATTGTAGTGGCTCCACTGTTGCTCTGGCTAAAATCAAGCAAATCTGAGAAAATGTTTGGCTCTTGCTGCTCAGATCAGCTATCCCTCCCAAACAAATCTTTCTTTTTTTTAAAAAAAAACCAAAACTTTTAATTTAACCCCCCCCACTGAATTGCTCTCTTCGGTGACTGCATAGCAAGTTAAAATAGAAGTGAACATGTCTTTGATATGACCCGTTTTGCCCCCAGTAAACCCACACACAAAAAAAAAGTCAATTCACTTCACAGTATACTCTGTGAAGCGCTCAACGACGTGAGAAGACGCTGTATCATATCATAGACCACGGCAGCACAGAAGGAGGCCATTCGGTCCATCGTGCCGCTCTTTGGAAGAGCTTCCCAATCATCATCATCATCATCAACATCAACAGCTCGTATTTTTAAACAGCGCTCTTCACGAGGGGTAGTGTCCCGGGGCGTTCAAATCAGACCCGCGCCCCGCTCTTTCTTTCCCCGTAGCCTTGCAAAAAAATATATATATTTTGCCTTTTCAAGTACCTGTTCAAAATTCCCTTTTTTTTTTGGAGAGGGCGGGGGGGGGGGGGGGGGGGAGGGGGGAGTTGTTAATGTTATAATGCAGGGATTATTATTATTATTATTATTATTACTGCTCCTAACAACAACAGCAACAACTGGTGATACTACTATAACCAAGTGGGTATTACAACAGCTATCAACCATCACCCCCCACCCTTGCCCCCCCCACTCCCCCCCATAACCCCAACAACCCTCCTTCCCCTGAAGTCCAGATGTAAAACAGTGCAGGGAGTGTGTGTGTGTGTGTGGGGGGGGGGGGGGGGGGGGGTGGGGGGCAGAGAGGGAAAGAGAGTGAAGAAGAGAAGTCTCCCAATACCTGGACGAGAGTTGAGTGAAATCCCCTCCGTCCAGAAGGCGAATCTTGCAGAACAGCACCCCGTTGACAAAGGGGACGGCCGTCAGCTCCTCCAGGCTGAAGATGATCTGGAATTTAAATTTCTTCTTCTTCATGATGAACGCCATCGGTGGTGATGGGGGTGAGGAGAGAAAAGGGGGTGTCGGTTGGGCTGGAGGGGAGGGGTGGGGGGGAGAGGGTGGTGGTGGTGGAAGGAGTTTGAACCCCCCCCAAAAAAAATCACCGGGCGCTTTTATTTTCTTTCTTTTTTTCTTCTTCTTCTTCTTCCTTCTTCTTCTTCCTTCTTCTTCTTCAGCAGCAGCAGCAGCGAGAAGCGGCGGCTCGAGGTAGTCAGTCCAGCGCGAGCGAAACGGGAGGGAAGGCGCGCGCGCGCGCGAGAGAGAGTCAGTCAGTGCCCGGGCGTCGCGCGACGCTTTTCAAACGGCACGAGCTCCCCAACCGTCAACCGAGACCCGGAGGAGGAGAAGGACGACGACGACGACGAGGAGGAGGAGGAAGGAGGACGATGCCCCCCCGGCTCGAGGAGGGAATGCAAGTCAGGTTCGGGGGTACAGTGGCCGGCGCCTCGCCCACGTTAGTCTTCCTCGGGCCACCTCGAGGATCCCGGCGGAATCGGTGAAGGAGCCGGAGCCGCAGCAGAGCATCGTACCGTCCTCATCGGAGCCTGGTCAGTCCCGTAAGAGCGGAGCGGGGCGGCAGCGGCGTTTATAGCCCTTTCTCCCCTCCCTACCCCCCCCACCCCGAGGCCGCGCACCGTCTTGAGGTGCCGGGGAAAGGTGTCGTGTCGCGTCGCGGTCCCTCTTCCTGAGCGAGCGCTTGTCGCCCGTCCGCCCACCCCCGGCGCGGTTCCTGAGTGGGTGGGTGAAGGGGGGGGGGAGAAAGCGACCGCTGTCAGCAAAGGAGCGCGGAGGCGGGGAAGGGGCGAGCGCTCCTCCGGCTGCAAAGCCCGACGCAGAGTTAGTTGGTCCGCCTCCGCTCCGGCTGTCCATCACACCCACCGCGATACCCCATTGGCCCGCCCGGCGGGCGGGGCGGGATTCAACCCGCTGCTGCTGATTGGCCGAGCCGGCGGTGAGCCCGCGCCTGTGATTGGCGAGGGTCGTGACGCCGACTCGGCCCAAGTGCAGCGATTGGCTGCTCTCGGTTCCCGCTCTGATTGGCTGTTTTCTTTTTGAACCGGGTTCATTGCCATTGGCTGAACCGGGATAAGGAGGAACAGGGGTCGTGCAGTGCAATTGGCTGTTACGTTGTTATAATAACCCTCACATTTTTATGCACTTGGCCTTATCGCCGTGTGGTCAAAATGCCTCAAAGCGTTTGGGTGTAACGTGTAGTGACTGCGTATTTGTCGGCACGCGCGGCAGCCAATATTGCCCCACGCCGTGTCCCACAAACAGCCATGACATGAGTGACCGGTTTTATCTGGTGGCGGTGGGGTGGCGGTGGGGGGGCTGATGTCCGGGGACGCTGCGAGAAACTCTCTCCGCCCTTCTTACGCGCGCGGCTTTTTAAGTTCCATTTGCATTCGCAATAAATGCCGTTTCGGAACAGGACGATTGATTAGTGCTCCCGAAATTGGAACGAGCGAGCGTTAAGAATATAGTGCTCGTACTCTTCAACCTGTTTAACCGGATCGTCAATTGGGAATAACCTAAGAGGCCTCAGATAAATACAAGGTACTCTTATCGAAAGTAAAAGTGGAAAGCATAGATGACATGGAACTTACCATATTAAAGGAGATAGGAGTGATGACTCATTGTTCATCATATCCAAACACCATTAAACAAATTAAACAAGAAGATGGGTTTGAGTCACAAATCATAGAAATTAAAGGAAAAGGCCATTTAGCCCATCTCCTCCACTGCAGATAGCTATTTATAATCTTTTGGAGAAAAAGTGATCAGCTATTTTTAACTGGTGTTGGATTGTGCACAACCTGAAGGATGAGAGTTCTTTGCATCGAGTTTGAAGAGACCTGCATATATGAACACTGCACATTTTTGCACAAAAACTTTCATATTATTGCAATCCATATGATGTAATGGTCAATTCTAAGAACTGAGGTTGTGCTATCTGGGAGAGATTGAACTCTGGTTCAGATAAACTCACTATAGGTTAGTTTGAAAGGATAGTTTGAAAGAGTTTCCATGTGTCAGATACCCGGTTGACTAAAAAAAAAGCAAAATAGATTCATGGGTTTGATAAGTAACGTCTTTTTTAATCAGTGAATGTACCGACAATGTTCTGAAGGTGGAATGTTGTAGCTTTTCTTTGTTGGATTGTAGTTTATGTGGCTGAGCTCTGTGATGAATGCAATTTCAACGGTCATGAAGTGTTGAATTCTTTCCTCTCAGGTTTGTGGTATTTTGCTTTGCAAAATCTCTTGGTATTTTGTAATTGCAGCAACCAACAATTTCATTCCTCAGCCCCGGAGAGCTCCTCGCTCAGTTTCCCCTTCCTGTCCCTCATATTGCACCACATGGACATCAACAAACTGAGCAAAGACCAGGGATTCAATTTATGATCTTTCTTGCCTCTATGGAATCTGTCAATATTTTCATTCCATTTTCATTATGCAACAGGGTTCCATTAGGGAACACCTATACATTTTAAACAAATTGGCAAATGATGGACCCGGAGGTCTCAATGCCGCTTTATAAATTGAGCCATGAAGGGGGAGGGGAAAAGAGATGATGTAATTGATTATATTTGAATCCACTTGTGAACTGTGTGGTCATATTTTGTTGCACAAGCCCTTGTCTGACAGCAGCCTGCACTTCGAGCCTCTCTCACACACAGATGGGTTTCTGCTTTGGTTTCTGATTCATCTTTAGATAAACAAGTATAACCTTCACATGACTGGAGCTCAGCAATTAAATACAATGGGAAGCTCATTTGATCTGCAATCATGTTTATTTTGGGAATATACTGTATTTAGAATTAAATATAGAAAAGGCTTGCAACATCATTAATTATAGGATGTTTTAAAGGCCTGTACATTTCTTTAATTTTACTTGGTAATGTTTATCATTAGAAGCTTACTGATAATCTTCCACACAATAAGAACATGTAACTATGTTAGGAAGAGACGTTTCACTTTGTTTCTTATTCTAAGCTCTAATCACAGTTTGTACATAATACTTGTGTTATAAACAGTTGGGGGAGTGATGGTTTTATTAACCTTTCATCCCCAATTTTATCCTCTCAGCTGTATGTACAGATACTTTCTGGGGTACTGTTGCACCAACTACCAATGGTCTCATCGAATTTATCGAAAACTCCATTCTCATCAGGCTCCAATGTTTCTCATCTCCCAGAGGGTCGATTTGAAGCTTCAAATCCTCACCTATAAGTCCTTTCACAGCTAGAACCTCCTCCCTCCACCTCCTTTGATCTCCTACTACTCATTCCTCTGCTAATCCCCCTCTGCTTAGTTAACTCAAGTTTACTGCATGTCCTTCCACCCCCACGGCTAAGTTTTCACATTCAATACCCCTAACCTCTGGAACTCTATCTTTCTTCAAATCTCACCTAAATATTACCAGATTCACGTTGGGAAGACTACGAAGGTGCTATATAATTCAATTTGTTGCGTCTTCTTGAGTGGTCCAATGGTCATCTCTCTCTTCCCCCCCCCCCACCCTGCCTAGTATCCAAGCCCATCACTGTAAAATGCTCAGATGTTTTCCTATGTGGAGGTCACTGTTTAAATGCAAGGTTGTCTTTGATAATCCTGCTCCACATAGCTTTCTCTCAGTACAGGATTTGCTCCAGTTCCAATGTTTGGTATCAATAAGTGAAACACAGGTGTGAACAAAACCAGTTTCAACCCTTCATAAGGCAGGCAACGTGTCATTGAGTGGGGAGATCTCTGGCAGTTAGTATGTTTTTTCTCATTTTCCACTGATTGGGAAGGTTGGAAGTTTTAGCTGAATTTTCCCCAGCACAAAGCTTCCACCTCATCTCACTCGATGTCCAATTGCAAGCGCTCTGGGACACTTCCCTGCGTGAGGGGCACTATATAAATGCAAGTTGTTGTTGTTGCATACGCAACACATATCCAAGCTTAGTTGGAGTTAGTTAAGCCATCCACTAGTGCTGAACCCCTTTGTGGCCCCTGGCTTTGGGACATTGGGAAGAAGAACTGAAAATAACAGTTAAATACCTCTAGCCAGAAAGTCTATATTACAAAGTCTATATATGAATATCAGACTGGACTTGGCTGTGTTAACTTCTCTCTTTTTTGTGTTCAGCCGGGTATATGACACATGCAGAAACCCATCAACATGCTTACCTAATTCTGGAAACTTGGCAGCTTGGCAAGAGCCAAGGCTTGGGAACCCCAGATTGTGTGTTGGGGTGCTGCTGTAGTGTAATCAGCTAAAAATACATAGTTTGGCAGCACTGTCTGGCAAACTTTCCTGCTGCGTGTGCAGCTAGGACTACCCTACCTGTTAGAGCTTTGCCTTGCAGGGTTAACAAGAACTGAGTGAGATGATTCCCTGCCCTCAGTGACTGGTTTACCCTTCCAAGTCCTGCCGCTGAGCCAAACTGGCTGTGCTGTTAACTTCTCTCTCTCCCCCACCACCACCACTTCCCAAATAGCCTTCATTCACGAGGCTCAGACGTAAAGAATGATTTTTAGTGCAATGTATCATTAGAGGGCTGCTGGCTATCATGGAACTGCCCTCTAAACTTATTTAGCACCTTCACAAGAGGAGACGAGGAACGCGATTGAGTAGGACACGGTGAATAGTGACTTTGAAAAACTAACAAAAACAGGAAAGTAAGAAAAGCAACTCTGCCATTGTTACAGTAGGAACATGTTCTAAAAGCAAACAGACAGTGCCACCTGGAGGCAAAATCAAATAATAATAATAATAATCCTCGCATTTGATATAGCGCTTTTCACGTCGGGAGGATGTCCCAAAGAGCTTCACAGAACACACTGTAAAGTGAATTGACTGTATATTTGTGGGTGAACGCGGCAGCCAATTGCGCACAGCAATGTCCCACAAACAGTCGTAGATTGGAAATGACCAATTTATTATTATTTTTGGTTTTGGAGGGATTATTATTAGGCTCTGTGTGGAGTAAGGAAACTTGCCCAAGGTTTCGCCCTCTGCCTGGAATTGAACTCAGGTCTCTCACTTG